TATAGAGGGAAGGAGCAGCAAAAACACAACAACAAAGTGCATGCCCCGAAACACTTGCTGAAGCACCAGGCCCTGAACAGTATAGGACCTCTTCTTAATATAGCCATTACTCTCAGGAGCAGGAAATATAACAGGGTTTCCTAACACACACACACACACACACACACACACACACACTCACACTCTAACAGTGACCTAGACAAAATGACAAGACAGAGGAATTCACCCCAAAAGAAAGGAAATGAAGAGGTCATGGCCAGGGATCTAATCAAAATAGATATAAGTAATATGCCTGAGCCAGAATTGAAAATAACAATTATAAGGATACTAGCTGGGCTTGAGAAAAGCATAGAAGACACTGCAGAGATAAAAGAACTAAACTAGTCAAGCAGAAATAAAAAATTGCTATAATCAAGATACAAAACCGACTGGATGCAATGACAACAAGGATGGAAGAAGCCGAGGAATGAATCAGCGATACAGAAGATAAAATGTATGGAAAGTAATGAAGCTGAGAAGAAGAGGGAAAGAAAAGTATTGGATCATGAATGTAGACTTAGGGAACTCAGCAACTGCATAAAGTGTGATAACATTTGTATCATAGGAGTCCCAGAAGATGAAGAGAGAAAAGAGGGCAGAAGGTCTGTTTGAGCAAATTATAGCTGAAAACTTCTCTAGTCTGAGGAAGGACACAGACATCTAAATCCAGGAGGCAAAGAGAACTCCCACCAAATTCAACAAAAGCTGGCCAACACCAAGATATCCTAGTAAAGTCTGCAAAATATAGAGGTAAGGAAAGAATCCTGGGGCACCTGGGTGGCTCAGTCATTAAGTGTCTGCCTTTGGCTCAGGTCATGGTCCCAGGGTCCTAAGATCGAGACCCGCATTGGGCTCCTTGCTCAGCAGGGAGTCTGCTTCTCCCGCTCCTTCTGTGTTCTCTCTCTCTTAAATCAATCAACCATTTAATCTTTAAAGGAAGGAATCCTGAAAGCAGTGAGGGAAAAGAAATCCCTAAAAAACAAAAAAAAAGAAAGAAAGAAATCCCTAACCTACAAGCGAAGACAATTAGCAGTAGATCTCTCCGCAGAAACTTGGCAGGCCAGAAGAGAGTGGAAGGATATATTCAACGTGCTGAAGGAGAAGAATATTCAGCCAAGAATACTTTACCCAGCAAGCCTGTCATTCAGAATAGAAGGAGAGATAAGGAATTTCCCAGACAAACAAAAACTAAAGGAGTTCATGACCACTAAGCCAGCCCTGCAAGAAATATTAAAGGGACCCTCTGAGTGGAAGAGAAAGACGAAAAGCAACAAAGAAAGGAACAGAGAAAAATCTCCAGAAACAGCGACGTTACAGGTAATACAATGGCAGTCAATGCTTATCTATCAATAATTACTCTATAAATGGACTAAATGCTCTAACCAAAGGTGCAGGGTGTCAAAATGGATTAAAAAACCCCAAGACCCATCTATATGCTGTTTATAAGACACACATTTTGGACCTAAAGACACATCCAGATTGAAAGTGAGGGGGTGGAAAACCATCTATCATGTTAGTGGACATCAAAAGAAAGCCTGAGTAGTCATACTTATATCAGACAAACTAGATTTTATTTTTTATTTATTTTTTTTACTTTCTTTTTTTAAATTATGTTATGTTAGTCACCATACAGTACATCATTAGTTTTTGATGTAGTGTTCCATGACAGACAAACTAGATTTTTAAGCCAAAGACTGTAACAGGAGATGAAGAAGGACACTATGTCATAACTAAGGGGTCTATCCAACAGGAAGATTTAACAATCGTAAATATTTATGCCCCCAACTTGAGAGCAGCCAAATACATAACTCAATTAATAACAAACAAAGAAACTCACTGATAATCATACCATAATAGTAGGGGTCTTTAACATCCTACTTATAGCAATGGACAGATCATGTAAGCAGAAAATCAACAAGGAAACAATGGCTTTGAATGATACACTGGACCAGGTGGACTTAACAGATATAGTCAGAGCATTTCATCCTAAAGCAACAGAATACACATTCTTTTTGAGTGCACATGGAACATTCTCCAGAATAGATCACATACTGGGCCACAAATCAGCCCTCAACCAGTATGAAAAGATTTAGATCATACCATGCATATTTTCAGACCACGAGGCTATGAAATCTGAAGTCAACCACAAGAATAAAATTTGGAAAGAACACAAATACATGGAGGTTAAAGAACATCCTACTAAAGAATGAATGGGTTAACCAGGAAATTAAAAAAGAAATAAAAAAAAAATACATGGAAGCAAATGAAAATGAAAACACAACAGTCCAAAATCTTTGGAATGTAGCAAAGGCAGTCCTGAGAGGGAAGTATATAGCAATACAGGCCTATCTCAAAAAGGAAAAAAAAAGTCTCAAATACACAACCTAACCTTACACCTAAAGGAGCTAGAAAAGGAACTGCAAATAAAGCCTAAAGTCAGCATAAAAAGGGAAATAATAAAAACTAGAGCAGAAATAAATGATATAGAAACAAAACTAGTAGAACAGATCAATGAAACTAAGAGCTTGTTCTTTGAAAGAATTAATAAAATTGATAACCCCCAGCCAGACTTATCAAAAAGAAAAGATAAAGGTCGCAAACAAATAAAAGCATGAGTGAAAGAGGAGAGATCACAACCAGCATCACGGAAATACATTTATAAGAGAATATTATGGAAAATTATATGCCAACAAACTGGGCAATCTGGAAGAAATGGATAAATTCCTAGAAACATACAAACTACCAAAACTGAAACAGGAAGAAATAGAAAATTTGAACAGACCCATAACCAGCAAAGAAATTGAATCAGTAATCAAAAATCTCCCTTGAACTAACAAAAGTCTAGGGCCAGATGGCTTCCTAGGGGAATTTTACCAAACATTTAAAGAAGAGATAATATTAATTCTTCTCAAACTGTTCCAAAAATTAGAAATGGAAGGAAAACTTCTAAACTCATTGTACGAAGCCAGCATTACCTTGATTCTAAAGCCAAACACCCCACCAATTTGGGGCTTGAACTAAAAACCCTGAGATCAAGACCTGAGCTGAGATCAAGGATTTGACTGACTGAGCCACCCAGATGCCCCCAGAATAATGTATTTTTAAAATAAAGTTTTGATTTGTATTATTTAGAGCATGAGACAAATTTAATGTTTTTATAAGGAAACATTAAAATGGTAAGATTTCTCCACTTTAAACTATCACATAAATTATTTGTGTGTGTTTGATCATCTAGACTATCACATAAATTATTTGTGTGTGTTTGATCATCTAGATAATTGAACATAAATGTTCAAGAAATCATGGATTCTCTATCTGGGGCAATGCTCAATGCTTAATAAAATAATATACTCACAAGATTTGGAATTGGAAGGGCGCCTGGGTGGCTCAGTCGGTTAAGCGACTGCCTTCGACTCAGGTCATGATCCTGGAGTCCCGGGATTGAGTCCCGCATCGGGCTCCCTGCCCAGCAGGGAGTCTGCTTCTCCCTCTGACCCTCCCCCCTCTCATGTGCTTTCTCTCTCTCATTCTCTCTCTCTCTAATAAATAAATAAATAAAAAATCTTAAAAAAAAAAAAAAAAGATTTGGAATTGGAAGAAATTTAGACCTGTCTAGTCTAGTGCCTTTATTCATTTAACTCCAAAACTTTAATGACTTAGCAAAGGTCATAAATTAATGGGTAGAAAAGGGTCTAGAACTCCGAATCCCAGTGTTATTTCCTTTAAATATTTTATACTTGCAGTGTTTGTATTGACAGAGTTAAAAAAAATTGTTTTTGTGTCATTTAAAAATAGGAGACAACGTTCCTATCATAATATCCTCTGAGACCACTAGGTGTCACCTTAGAGCCATGATTACATATCACTACTGTGGGTTCTCTGCTCATGGGAAAAACGTGGTGGATGGAACCTTTAGAGGTTTGGGGGTTCTACATAAGTTCTACGTAAGTTAAATGATGATGATAATAGTCCTTGATTCACAGAATTTTGAGGGTTATCTAGGAGATACACGAGGATTACATGAACTACCATAAGTAAAGCATTTAGCACAGGGCCTGGCACTTAGTGAGTAAACCCTCAATAATTCTTAGTAAACTCACTCATCACCAGGGCATTCCTATCATCTATTTTGACAAAAGATGGGAAATACAATGGTTTTACAATATCTATGTATCAAAACGATAAATTCTGCTGCAGCCGAGGGCTAAGAAGCTGTTCTGTTTACAAGAGTTTCTCAGCTGGAGGTATATCTTAGTAACAGGTTGATCTGAACCTTGCCTGTGAATGATGGAGCTCTGGAATCAAGAAAAAAATAAAATAAAAATAAACCCCGCCGTCTCTGCGGTCTGATGGATCTGAGGCTGAACCACAGCTCTACCACTTGGCACCTCTTTCCCACAGCGCCCCCATCTGTGAAATGGGGATAATTATGTACGTATATGACACCGTTGTTGTACGGAGTGGATCAGACAGGGCCAAGAAGTGCTCAGGATGGTGCTCAGCAAATCCTAGTTATGTGACCTTGAGCTAGTTATTTAACTTCTGGAAGGCCTCTTCTCTAGATCTGTAAGGTAAGGTTAATATGCACTTTTCCGCTATAAGAAACAGGTGAGGGAGATTCTGGAAAAAGGGGAAAAGCAACTCCCCCTCCTCCCCACTCTGACTCTGAGTTATTTGCCTCTTCTGGGCTAAGGGACTCTTTGGACCCAGGTGAGGGCTTGAGCTCTCCTGGGGACCTAACACAAGGCTGTCAACTTAGTGGGCTGGACCAACACCGGACAGCGCATCCTGGGGTGAGTCTGAAGCTCAGAGATCTGTGGGCGTGGGGACAAGGACACTAGACACAGAGACGTGTAAGGAGTTGAGATACACGTGAAACAGCCCAGCCCTGGCCATGCGCACTGAGAGCTGCCTCAGAAAGGACCTCTCTCACTCTAGATGCTTTACTACTCCAGACTTACCTTTTTTCCAAATTTGAGAACCATCTTTTCGGCATTTATGTGGTCCAGAAAATTTGGATGGTGTTTTCTTCTTCGATAATCCTCTTCAGTAAATGGAATCTCAGAATCATCCTATGAAAGACAGAAAGCCAGACCTGAGACATAAAGCTTAGAGCTACATAAAACGTCCAAGCCCCAAATGCTGCCTCGACTGTGTTCCGGAGAGCTCAAATGAAGCATCGGAAAAGCTACTGCTTACTTTTCCAGTGATTCAACTCCCTTGAAGATGTTTTAGCTAGCCAAATGTTATTATTTATACTTACTTTAAGCAAAATAAAAAATTTAAATGTCTTTCTTTTAAAGATATTAAATAACCCATTTCTTTAAAAAAAATTTTTATTTTATTTAAATTCAATTAATTACCATATAGTGTATTATTAGTTTCAGAGGTAGAGTTTAGGGATTCATCCGTTGCATGCAGCACCCCGTGCTCATTGCATCACATGCCCTCCTCCTAGTTATCCAACCCCCCCCACCCCATCTCCCCCCAACCCCAAACCCTCAGTTTCCTAGAGTTAAGAGTCTCATGGTTTGTCTCCCTCTCTGATTTTGTCTTATTTTATTTTTCCATCCCTTCCCCCATGACCCTGTTTCATGTCTTAACTTCCACATATGAGTGAAATCATGTGATAATTCTTTCTCTGGTTGACTTATTTTGCTTAGCATAATACCCTCAGTTCTATCCACGCCATTGCAAATGGTAAGATTTCATTCTTTTTGATGGCTGTGTAATATTCCATTGTGTATATACACCACATCTTCTTTATCCATTCATCTGTCAATGGACATCTGGGCTCTTCCCACAGTTTGGCTATTGTGGACATTGCGGCTATAAACATTGGGGTGCAGGTGCCCCTTGGAATCACTATGTTTGTATCCTTTGGGTAAATAAAAGAACCCATTTTCTTTTTTTTTTAAACCCATTTCTTAATAGTTCTTGCAACATATATAGTTTCATATTTTAATCTAACTTGTGGGTTTTTTTTTTTAAAGGTTTTATTTATTTATTTGACAGAGAGAGACACAGCGAGAGAGGGAACACAAGCAGGGGGAGTGGGAGAGGGAGAAGCAGGCTTCCCACAGAGCAGGGAGGCCGATATGGGGCTTGATCCCAGGACCCTGAGATCATGACCCGAGCCAAAGGCAGACGCTTAACAACTGAGCCACCCAGGTGCCAATGGTTTTTTTTTTTTTTTTTCCCCACGTTGCCCTTTCCCCTCAAATCAACCTTATGTTACCGAGAGCATTCCATGTGTAAGTGTCAAGTCCAGAGTTGACAATATCCCCAGAGGGAAGAAGGTTGCATCTTCTAAGTAGGGATGAGCCCTTCAGAGGTCTCCTAGCAGACTTCTCTCTGTGCCAGAGCCTGGACCACGCTGATTTCCTGGGCACAGAGCTAGATGACATATCCCGGGCTCACTCCCAGTTGGGTATGGCCATGTGACCGGGTTTTAGTCGAAGGGATTTAGAGAAGGGATGCTCATGTCTTCCCTGCCTGGCTTGAAAACTTGCTGTGCATGATCTTTTGTGCCTTCTACCTGGGGTCCCCAGGCTTGATGTAGGTTTGCATAATGGTTCCAGAGGCCACTCTGGAAGATGGTGAGAGGAGCCTGGGTCTTGATTCAGAGTTGGGAGGACAATTCCTCATTCATCAGGAACACCTGTCATATGTTGCATACAAGTAAGGAATAAACTTTCACCACGGCTAAGACATTCTCCACGTTTGGGGTTTGGCTGTTACTCCCTGGCATTCTGGAATTAGCTTGCATGCCTGCCCTTAGCTCATCGTTGGCGAGAGCAATGGGACCATCACGGCTCATTTGGATTCATAAGGCTCTCCCCCTGGAGCTGGGGATAGCGTCCCCCTTCCCTGGCTCTCATGGGCAGTGTGACCACCTGAACAGATCAGGACTCTGCTGGCAAGGAAGACGGGGGAGGGGGGTGGCTGCCAGGGGACCAGCAGTGTCTACACCAATCCACGCTCATCTTTTTCTTTTGAGTTGCCTAATGAAGTCATGGCTTCTCACCAACTCAATGGATTTCAGTTAACCACAATGTGTTGGGTGGTGTCTTGGCAGGATAAAAAGGACACTCAAAGTGGGTAATTTGAGGAGAGTTTAAAAACAGGATTATTGGGACGTCTGGGTGGCTCAGTCAGTTAGGCGTCTGCCTTCGGCTCAGGTCATGATCCCAGGGTCCTCGGATCGAGTCCCGCGTGGGGCTCCCTGCTCAGCGGGAAGCCTGCTTCTCCCTCCACCTGCCGCTCTCCCTGCTGTGGGCTGTCTCTCTCTCGTTCTCTCCCTGACAAATAAATAAATAAAATCTTAAAAATAAATAAATAAAAACAGGATTATTTACAAAGACGTGGACAGGGTGAAGGGGAATCAGATACCCTGCAGTCAGTAACGGGGTGCTCTGTACCACTTCTAGGTCCCACGGTCAAGAGGAAGCCAGCAATAATTAATTAGGGCCCAGAGAAGAGGGGACAGGCAGCCCCACAGGCACAGTGAGGTCGGTTGAAGAGCTCAGCTGCCAGTTCACAGGACGAGTACCCCGACCTCTGTCTTCTCCTTTCCCTCATCTTCTCACCCCGCTGCCCGTGGGCCAAACCCAGTGGGCAGGAGAGGGCAAGCTTGCTGACGTAGCCTATGAGGCCACAGCAGGGTGGGGAAAAGTGGAGACTGAGTCTGAAGGGGCAGATGGGAAATGCCCAGCACACAAAATCATTTTCATGATGCTCACCCTTTACCGCGGGGCTAGTGGGGAGCCCCCCTTTGGACTCTCGGCACTGCCGATGGCACCTCTGAAAATGTCTCAGCTTTCTAGCCTCAAAGATATGTTCCAGGCTTACCCAGGTCTCTACTGACCCAAAACACAGAATCCAGTACCTTCCATAGTGTCCTGGAGCTGGTTGTACTAAAAAGCGGGGTTAGGGAGGAACAATTGTATCTCAGGGAGGCCCAGGAGGGCTGCTGGTGAGCCATTTTTCATAATGACAGAGCTGAAGATCTGTCTTTCTTAAAGTCATGAGTTCACAATGATTTTTTCCAACTTAACATATCTTGTTAATGACCCCTACCTTCCTAGGACCAAGTTTCATCAGTTATTAAGATTTCCCAATCTCTGATGCCCAATGGCTTCTCCGTGGATTTTTGTAGACATCGCTTATATCTTTAAAACAACTTCCTCTGGCGCCTGGGTGGCTCAGTTGGTTGAGCGACTGCCTTCGGCTCAGGTCATGATCCCGGAGTCCCGGGATCGAGTCGCGCATTGGGCTCCCTGCTCAGCGGGGAGTCTGCTTCTCCCTCTGACCCTCCCCCCTCTCATGCTATCTCATTCTCTCTCTCAAATAAATAAATAAAATCTTAAAAAAGTAAAAATAAAAAAAATAAAACAACTTCCTCTTTTTGTGTCAGCTAAGTCCAGCTAGATTCTGTTACTTGCAACTTGAAAGCCCCGATTTCCACTGATGCCAAAGTCTTCCTCTGCCCCACACCCTTCAATTGGATTTTCGGGGGACAAACTGGCCTTCAGACCAGCTTGGGCTCAGTTTGCTTCCTTGCCTAGAAAAGAAGGAACCAGTCATGTCTTTGACCAGACACTGAGGACAGATACTCGAATTTCCTCTTCCAACCATAACCACAACTGGGATGATGAACATCTCTGGGCAAGGAGCAGTCATAGGCCTTAAAGGAAGTCATTAAGGGCTTGCACTCAAATGGTCTTATTCAGTGTTTGTGTGGGGCTGAGCGACAAAGAGAGCCACGTTTGCAGAGCCTCACATTTATCAGATCCTCCGATGTCCTGTCCTTACAGATTTAGCTGAGCTCAATTCATAATCACAAGTCACCTGTAACTTGCACAGAAACCCTAAAAGAGACTATTAATGCAACTGTGCCTCAAATGGAAAACTGAGGGGTGCCTGGGTGAGGCAGTCAGTTGAGTGTCCAACTCTTGGTTTCAGCTCACGTCCTGATCTCAGGGTCGTGGGATCAAGCCCCGCTTTGAGCGCCACGCTCAGTGCGGAGTCTGCTTGAGTTTCTCTCTTCCTCTCCCTCCCCCACCCCACCCCCCAGCTCTCTCTCTCTCTCTCAATAAATAAATAAATCTAAAAAACAAAAACAAAAAAAATAGGGAAAACTGAAATCTCACCAGGCTTTCTTCTGCTCCCAGTGTGTTTCTAACTACAGTTTACTTATTTGTGAACTTCTACACTGACATAATTTCACATTTATGGAAAGTTTGCAAAAACAACATGGATAACTCCTATACAATTTTTTCCCCTCAGATCCACTGATTTTTAAATTTTTATCACATTCTTTTCTCATTGTTTCTCTCTTTCTCTTTATATGTATATTTTAAGGACAAGTACAAATTAAAAATAAGAAGCTTCATTCTCCCTGTTGACAACAAGGGAAGAGGCTTCTCTCCCATCCTTTTTTCTTAGGGCATTATACTTTAATAAAAAGTTTGTAAGTTTTTTCTCTGTCTCTTTGAAATGTATGTGGATTTTTTCCCCTAAGATTTTATTTATTTATTTGAAAGAGAGAGAGAGAGTGCATGAGGACACAAGCAGGGTAGAGGGAGGTGGGGGCAGAGGGAGAGAGAGACAATCTCAAGCAAACCCCCTGCTGAGCATGGAGCCAGATGCAGGGCTCAATCCCAGGACTCTGAAATCATGACCTGAGCCGAAATCAAGAGTCGACACTTAACTGACTGAGCCACCCAGGCGCCCCAAGTGTGTGAGTTTTTTTAGAAGCAAAATAAGCCTCTTGCCAGCTTTCTAACCAGGAAAGGTCTTTCTCAAGGACCTGGGAGATACCTCTTTGAAATGTACATCAAGGGAGAGAGCACCTCTCGTCTTCCAGTTTCTGCAGGAAGGTAGGAGCCTAACTTTGCTGCACACCTTGCGCTTAGCTGCAGAACCAACTCCTGTCGTAAAGATATGAAAAATTTGTTTTTCCTCTGCATAAAGCCAATAAGCTAACACAGATGGCCACCCAAATTACTAGGTGAATCTAGGACGAACTATCTGTGACAGATGGCGCTGTCAAATCCCCTTACTCAAGAACTAGTTATTGTTTGTCAGGAAACATGTATGCAATGGACAGAATCCGCTTGGCTATAGAAAAAGGTGAGATTTCCTTCTTTCGTTGCAATCTCTTAGCGGACTGCCCACGACGTGCATGACATTCCATTTTAATGCTTGTTCAGTAATGAAGCTGTTTTCTTTCTCTCCTCCCTTGTGGAGGGATTTTCCCGGTTGGGTGAAGACTTTGTTTCTAATTATATTTCCCCACAGCATGCACATGTTATTTCTTTTTTCTGAATCATTTGAGAGCAGGTTGCATACCCTGTGTCCCTTTTCTCTTAACTTTTCAGTGCGTATCTCCTAAGCACATTCTCCCATGAAACCATAGTACGGTGGTAAAATTCAGGAAATTTAATATTGATGTAAATAATTTCATCCAATCGACAGTCCATGCTCCAACTTTGTCAACTGTCCCAGTGATGTCCCTTACAGTGCTTTTTCCTCCAGCATAGGTCCAGTCCAAGATCCCATCTGGCCCAGAACTGCTATGTCTCGTTCATCTTTATTTGGAGCACAGCTTCGGTTTTCTGTCCATAAATACCTCATTCATTCCACTGCAGTTGAATTTATTCATTTTTGGGAGTCATATTTAGCATGACTAGGTCCTGTTTAAGAACTCTTCCCCTATAAGTTCTAGTAATTTTTCTTAAAAAAATGAATAAGTGTTGGTTTTTACTTTTAATTATGTGATCCATCTGGAACTGAGCTTTTTGTGTGGTGTGGGGTAGAGAATTTTGGGGGGTGATGGAAACCCCCCGAAATTGGTTCTCTGTCTTGATGGCCATGGTGGTTACACAACCGTGTGCATTTGTCAAAACTCATAGAACTATCCAGGAAAGAGGGTTACCTCTACTCTGTATAAGTTATATCTTCATAAGCCTCACTTCAAGCCATCATGAGCTGTCGAGGAAATAGAAGTTAAAGCCACAGTGAGAGGATACGGACTTGCCACAGGACATAGGAGCTAACACGGCAGCCATTTCCCTGCATTTTCTCTTGGGGGACCCATCTCTTCTCCACTCTCAGCCCATGTAGTTTAGGGGCTGATCCCCCCCCCCTCTAGAAGTGAGTCTCTAACCCCAGGCCTGGCCAGCCCGAGCCCCATGTTCCCCTGACCATCGTGACTGGCTTGAGTTTAGGCCCCAAGACTTGGACACACAGCATATTCCAGTCCTGGGGTGGGACATGACCAAAGTGGAAAAGGGAACTGAAGCTCTGGGCATGTAAGCCCGGGAGCTGCTGGGGGCTGGCAGGAGAGGGAGCCTCCCTGAGAATGAAGCCCCACAGAAGAGAGAAAGTGAGTAGTGAGCTCTGAGAACATTGCTTAAGCTTCTAGCTCCAGCTGTGCCTGAAGTCCACCTTTGGACTTACCAGTTATGAGCCAATACATTCCCATTTTGCTGAATTCAGTACAAGTTAGTATGTGAGCGAAGGAGGGAGCACAACCTGGCAGGCCTGCAGCTGGTCAAGTGACCAATGATTGTTTTAGAGCAGACACTTCACTGGACAGTCTGTGGGAAGGAACCAGAACAGGAGTCAAGGGGCGCCTGGGTGGCTCAGTCTGTTAGGCGTCTGCCTTCAGCTCAGGTCATGATCTCAGGGTCCTGGGATCGAGTCCCATGTTGGGCTCCCTACTCAGTGAGGAGTCTGCTTCACCCTCTCTCTCTGCCCCTCCCCCTGCTCATGTTCTCTCTCTTGCTCTCAAATAAATAAATAAAATCTTAACAATAAAAAAAAAAGAACAGGAGTCAAATGACCCGCTTGGTCCTTGAGGTGACGGCAGCCAGATGGAGTGGGTGAGTGAACTTTACAGAAAAAGACAGAAAACCGCAGGTCTCTGATCTCAAGAATCTCCTGGTGCACCAAGGGAGAGACGATTAAACAAACAAATGGCCTTTGATGCAATGTATGATAAGTCCCTACATATTTCCTCCTTATAAGTAATGTGTTCCATTGATTCTAGCGTGTGCCGTTTCCCTCCGCACATTCTGGTCTCTGAAGGTAGGATGTGCCTTGCGATCAGCAGCTTCTTACAGTGGTGCTCAGCCAGGAAGCACTGACGCCGTCCTTTCCAGCACCTGGGGGACCTTGAGCACAACTGATACTGTCGTCCCTTCCAGTGGAATTAGGCACTGCACCTGTTCATTGAACTGTCTTTCTAAATGTCTTTCACAAGATCACACTGTGATGCAGCACCAAAGTGAAAAGGTAGTTCGCGGGCACGAAGGCACTGGGGCAGAACGGCAAAGGTACATCTGATATCTGTAAAGAAAATAAACAGCTCTGGGGCGCCTGGGTGGCTCAGTTGGTTAAGCGACTGCCTTTGGCTCAGGTCATGATCCTGGAGTCCCGGGATC